ACTTATTTCGACGTAAATTTATTCATGATTTCCAAGTATTTGAAAGTAATGTATTTATCGAACCCTTTGATATCAAATTTCAATATTTTGATTTGACCTTTTTGATGTTTATTGTCATTACATGTATAATATTCAACCTTTCATAAGTAAGAAATAAAATGCCAGCCATTTTAAATAAAATGTTTTTTTCTCTGTTATGGTGTAGCGGTGATCATTTTTTTATTATTTCAAAATATACTTAATATTTTTTTATTTTGCAAACAAGCAAACAACCACTTGAATTCGCCAAAATAGCGTAGTGACCATTTGCAGATGGGTTACATTTAACCTACAAGAGACACATAGAAAGGGATTTCCCCTGCAAGGAAGGATAATATTTATGCCAAATGTGCAAATGCTTTTTGCAAATGTTGAAATTCCGGAACAAAAGACACACGGAAAAAACCAATATGCAATATACTTTTAATAAAAGTAAAAAGGGTTGGCCGACGATAGTAATGGCCCATATCTCAGCGCTTTTTTTTACCCACCCAGATTCAGAATTTATACAAATCTACGAGTATACCAAGCGTGTTAAAATAATTATACAGATTTTAAAATGGAATACCAGTTTTGAATTTCGAATTTCGAAAAATGAACAACATTTCAAGACAAAAATAATTTAAACTAATAAATTAGTACGGTTACCTTAAAACAATTAAAGTAATACGTGAGAGTAATACAGAGATAGGTAGTTACCGATTCTATTCAAAATTCTATGTTAGATAAGGAATTCTGTAATTCGAGTTCCAAATATTATAATGGGTAAAGCGTACTCGAGTTTGCTGTAAGTTATAATCTACAGGCATGAAGAATTACACTGGGATTTTACTTTAGCATTTATAAGGCGTCTCGGAAAATACATTAAAGACATACTGAAGTAGATTTTCATAAAAAAAATGTTTTAAACAGTCATTCGGCAATGGAATCTCACTTTATAAAGGTCATAAACGAAGTCGATCGTCTTTTATTTCTTAGTAATAAGAAAAAGAAAGATTTTATTTATTCACTAGCTTTCGCCCGCGACTACGTCCGCGTGGAATTAAAAAAAACAATAGTAAGTAGCCTATGTGTTCTTCCAGACTATCCTCTACATCTATAGCAAATTTCATTGAGATCCGTTCAGCCGTTTAGGCTACAAACTCTAACAAACATCCATCCATCCATCCAAACTTTCGCATTTATAATAGTAGTATGAAGTATGATTACGTCTATTAGTATAATGTCATTCGTCAGGTTGCAGTTAAAACTAACGTTAACTAACTTCACATTGCAGCTTAACTAGACTTAAGTAAGGAACATTAAGGAAGTTGAAAAGGTCCGTTATCCGTAAATCCGTTTGCATTTCTCAGATACTAATGAAGCTGGATTAACGCAAAACTTAAGTCTAAGAGCGCACACTTTTGACTAAAGTATCGCACGACAGTTGTGCGATTGTCGATTGTTACGCAGTCAATTCAACTGTTTAGTTGCACAACTAAAAATAAAGTATGCGCACGTCCATATAAGCTCTTAAGAATCAAAGCGAGATTAAACAGTTGGACGATAGTTAAGTCGAAGGTTAAGGTTAAGGAATTATATTTGACCGACTTCCCAAAAGGAGGTACTCAATTCGTCTGTATGTTTTTTTATGTGTGTTACGGCATAACTTCGCCGCTAGTGGACCGATTTTGATAATTCTTTTTTTATCCGAAAGGTAATGCTTGCAGGTGGGTCCCATTTTTTTGTTTGATTTTTGGAGTTAAAGACTACGACGTAATTAAATAGTTTAGCTCAAAATCGAGCGACGAAATTTCGGGTCATTTTTGCTTTCTTTGCTTACGTAGCCTAAACTATAAGACCTACATAAAAATGAGGTATGGAAGAATTGTAGCCCTTTATCTATACTGCAGTGCTACTCTAGTTTGAATAATTACATTTATATCACCGTGAATCTGCTAATAATGTAGAGCAATAATTTCATTTATGAAAAAACATTTTTGAAAAACTATTTTCATAACTCTAGCGAGCGTCATTCGATTCTATAAATATATTTTTGCACTGAAACAAACGATGGAATTTCTAATTAAGTGAACTGGAAACAATCAAAACTATGTACATTCGCTTGTGAATCAAACAACGTACACAAAAATACGATACCGGGAATCGAGAAGAAACGTGGAATATAAAAATAACCGAGGTTCGGATAACTGGAACCGGAATCGGGAAATGTGTAGATTCTATCCCGCACGAGTGAGCTTGCTTCTAGTTGAATAAATTAAATGTTTTGTACATTTAGTTTGCTCGTTTTAACACATGTAAGACTAGCTGTTTCTCGCGACTATTACCCATTATTACCCACTGATAACGTAGCTTTATAATGGTAAAACAATTTTTAAAATCGGCCCAGTACTTTTAGACTTATTTCAATATATACAAAAATACAAATCTTTCTTCTTTACAATCTTTAGAGAAGTAATTAAGGATATAGAAAAAAATTTACTTAGAAAAGTAATTTAGCTGTAACATAGGTTTTGTTTTATTACTATTTTTTAATTTAACGTGGACGAAGTCGCGAGCAACAGCTAGCTTATTATAAAGTATAGTATAGTATAAAGTCAAATTATTAAAATGCATATTCATATGTTTTCTTATAACCTATTAGTTGTCAATTTTAACTTAATTTAAAAAGCTTCGTATTACCATTTTGAGCGTCATGATTCTCTTTGATTAACACGATGAAAACGATCAAACAAATTTTCCGGCCTGAATCCATTTTCCATTGAAATTAAACCCGTGTCTGGTTAATGGTTAGAAAAGAATTTGACATGACAGCGCAATATCAGGGAGTCTGCGTGCAAACCGAACCCTTTCAGATAACGAATCGTAATTTACGCTTTGTACTCGATCGGGCTGAATATAAATATAATATAATACGGTGTGTGCTGACGTAAGGATGTAAGGAATATATTCTTTTATACAAAGACATTAAAGAAATATATAAACTAGGCATTGTGAACGAATTTTTTTCACCGGTAATTTTATAGGTGATATCAGTTGTAAAGTTTGGCGTTTTATATTTAAGCTAGCTGTTGCTCGCGACTTCGCCCGCGTAAATTAAAAAATATAGCCTATGTTACATACAGATAAATTACCTTTCTAACGTTGAAATAATCTTAAAATCGGCCCAGTAGTTTTTGAGTTATTTCAATACATACCAAAATCCAATAATACAAATCTTTCCTCTTTATAATATTAGTATCGATAAATAAAAATATCAATTAAAATACAATTAATTATATTCACATGTTGAGACTTTTAACAGATAGCGTTAGTTATGTGAAAAATGTCTCGAGTCAACTCTATATACTGTTTTAATCTCTATGTTTTTGTTTCACATGAAAAATATAAAACGACTATTTCTTTAATTTTTAATTACAATAAAGAATATTAATTTGTTTGCATCGATTTAAATAATTATTTTGATATTAGAAAGCAATATTTTCACTGAATAATATAAGCTATATTTTACATTAATAGGAAGGGTATAGATATGACAGAAAAGATATTAAACGTATATTCTTTGCCACCCAGAAGCAAATGCGAAAAATAATCACATTCTTTTCATAAGGAGGAAATCATCACTTTTCCCATTTTATTACTTGTGAAATTAAATTAAGCGACTTCGTAAAAAGACCTCTTAAAAGAAATTATATTAAATGTCACTTTATTAAAATTGTTTATTTTCTTTAGTATATACGCAATATTTTTTTGTAATCAAAGAATACAAGTAATACAAATGAAGGTTTTTCTTGAAGTTAATCAAACCTTTTTTCATATACCTATAACTATTATTTTATCGGCAAAGTTTTTTGACTTGACTCAAAATAACCTATCGATTATCTATTGTTTCGTAGCCCATTCAACTATTTAATTGTACAACTAAAAGTAATGTACGTACGTAATGTGCGTACCTCCATATAAGCTCACAGGAATCAATGCACGACTAAAGAGTTGTGCGATAGTTTAGTCAAAGGCGCTCTTATACAGCTGTCCCCAACGCCCACCAGCACAGACGACGCCAATGGGTATATATAGTTACAGGAATTGTTAACTAAAAGCTTTTGTTATACCAAAAGCGTAATTACATGAATTATTCTCCCTTTTGCTTTATGCTTTTGTAATATGTTCCTCGTTACCATTACAAAGATCACTCCGCGCATAATTCAATACCGGGATATGTAGCCGCCATGTTTGTTTGTACATTTTATATAAAGTGTAGTTAGATATAAAAGGAAAAGTATTGTTTGTTTATCGAAAATAAAGAGATGAAACTACTCAGAATATTCTTTTAAATTACCTATTCGATTATGGTTACATTTAACGTATACGTAAGTTTTTTTATTTTTGTTTTAAACGAAGCGGCACATGTAATAGTACTAATATTATAAATGCGAAAGTTAAGATGGATGGATAGATTTTTGTTAGAGTTTGTAGCCTTAACAGCTGAACGGATTTAGATTTTGGTACAGATGTAGAGAATATTCTGTAAGAATACATAGGTTACTCACTTTTTTGAATTTCACATAGACGGAGTCGCGGGCGATTATTAGTTAAATAAAAAAATGTGTCAGTTAAATTACAATAATGGCAGTCGGTGACAATTATATAAATAAAACTATTTGATAAGGTAATCGTGTTTTTATTTGACAAATTTAAATTGTGACAAAGATAGTATTCGTAAATATATTTAAACACATTAGCTTAACATTATATAGTTTTACAATATCTAGTTTGCAAAATAATTCAACTAAAATTTAACTCTATGAAACTTAACTTTTTTTTAGATATAAATTAGTAGATAACATAACTATAGTTACATATTTTAAGGACAGAATATTCCAGCTTTGAGATTATATTAAAGTGTTTTTAAAACGTATTTATAATCTTGATAAAAAAATGAACTAAAGATCTACAAACATTAAAATCTAATTATCAGATTTTGTCAACATCCCCACATAACTCTACATTGAGGCCTATCAGGGTACTTCTTTTTAAGTTTTCCGATTATATTCAAATACTTTTGGTTGTTCAATCTCTCCGCATTACTGTGGTGGGCCATCGTCTTCGTGACTGCAGCGTGGCTGAGAAAGCCACCGTCTAAGACCACCATTCGGTACTCTTGCAGACATAATTCCAGCATCTATTTAAAAACAACAAATTTATGTTGATTTGACTGGTATTACCCTCACTTCGCCTCTAGAATTGCTAGAAGATAGCACTTAGTCTATTTAAGTTGAAAAAAATTAATATAACCCAGGACTTCGACGAAGGCATACTAGGGGGTATAAGCCAACCAACTAAAGAAACTAGAGAATCGAAAAATCTAAAATAGATATAAAAACTTCTTCGAAAACGTCCATATTAATGGTGTGTGATTCCTAGAACTGGCCCAAATCATGGACTGGCAACGCCTATGAATTACTTCGAAAGTATGATAACATAATCTACGCTTACACTCGTAATCCTCTTCATCGAACCTAAAATTTGTTAAACTATATAACTATAACTAGCTTTAAGAGTTTTTACAAGAATAATATAATAAAAAAACAATAACTTAACTACTAATTAGGGTTGCCGACAGATGGCCGGATGAAAAAGACAAAATATTAATTCATAAAACCGTATGCCCCGAACACACATAAGTGGGGTAAGGTCAGGGAGGTAATTATGTTAGCGTTCTGTACAATGTGGATCTTCTGTGTGTAACTAACCTGTGTCATTTTGTCTTGTCTTCCCTCCCACGAGAGCGTTTCACTGTACCAAGGTTCTCTCTGCGTGCCGAAGTATAATGGTTCCCATCTATGGTAGGGATACTCGCGACGTGCTATCAACATGGGCTGCAAAAAATGTGACCGTACAAGCGTGAATTCTACCAATACGTAATTTGTCTAGGCATTTTATAGAGGTAATTCAGGTCTGTTTGGTTTAAATATACTTTGTTCCATTCGATTTTCAATTTGTTAACAATTTACAATTTGGTTAGGTAAATTGCAAATGGACGGTGTTCACGATTTGTCTGTGATGTACATTTTAAGAAGTCCAATAGTAAGATAGGTAAAATATTCAGTCTTGTTACGTTTATGTGCTGTGTACGTGACTGAATTCTTATAGTGCGGTTACGATTACCGAGGGAATGTCGTGAGACTTTTTGACTCTACATTTCGTGAGTGATAAAAGTAACTATTAAGGATTATGTCATATGCGACTTGAAATTTTTTACGTTACTTATTGTGATTTTTTTAAGTGTAACAAATGGTTTACGCAAGAATTAGGCCTAATTTTAGTCTAATTCCCTTTTCACTCTTTTAAGAGGAAAGGATGTGGAGGAAAAGTGGATTTGACGGTGGAGGAGACGCATAGGAAAGGGAAATGTCCTCTTTATGTTCGTCTCCTCCTCCGTCAATTAAAGATAGGCAACGTATTGGCAATTGCGGAGTTTTATGGGCAGCGGTCACATTTTCGGTAAATTTAGGCCGCTTGCTCGTTTGCCAACTTATGTTATAAAAAAAATAATTTACAAGAATAAATCAATCAAGTTAGTATTAAAGTGTGGTTAACACTTGGCCAGTACAGTTGGATAGTTGCGATCGCCAGTCATACTGACGCTGTGCCAGATTGCCAGTCCAGTTATTGAGCGCTACGAACTGTACTGGCAAAGTATGGACTGTGTATAAATAGAATAGAAGAATAAAATTTTAACTTTTGTTAAAAACGCGTAAAGATTATAAATCTCTTGATCGATATTTCATTACAGAAAGTACAGGTAGTACAATACTATAGTAGAAGTAGCAATACTGATAGTAATAGTTTGTATTTTCTATGTATACACACAAACCTCTACGTCAGGGGGCGAACGCCGCAGTAACCAGGACTGAAGACCAGGGAAGCGTTGGCAATGTGAACAGACACGCTGATGGAAGTAAAATGCTCTGTTGGCAGCGACCAAACGTACTAACCTGTTAATATATCGGTAAAGAGTAAAGTATAATACATTTTTTTTTTTAATTTTTGGATTTCTACGAGTATTATATTATTCAAGAGACAGTTTGAGAGTAGCCCCAGTGGTAGAAAAGGTTAGGAGCAAAAGGTTGATATGGTATGGGCGTCATATGAGGAGGGACGAATCGCTTGTAACAAAAAAAATAGTTATAAGTGTGGAAGTAAACTGGTAGAATTAGACGTAGAAATGTATTGTGTAAAAGGTGCCATGATCAAAAAGGGAGTGATGACTGAGATAACGTATGCTTGAGTTATTTGGAGGACAAAAATTTGATGCGCCGATACTAGGGGTGTAGGGAACGAGGAAGATGATGATGGATTTCTAACATGAAGATGACAATCTTAGTCTTAATTATAGTCAAATTGATGATGCTTTTCTGAGATGGTTAAATAAATTTTCGCCTCGCATAAAACAGAAGAGAACTAAAAAAATAAATTTACTTTACTACGTTTATAATTTTCTTGATAATTAGAAACTTACGATTGTTTGTCTCTTGGAATCATTTCTCCTTTTTCAACTTCAAATAAAGGGACTACGAAAATCGTCTTAGCGAAAATGCATCCATCATCACGTTTTTTGTCTCCCATTAATTTTCGTACCATTTTGAGAAATTTCTGAGCTAAACCGTCACTTGGTATCATTTCTATATCTGATACTAGGAAGTAATTCGACGTAGATGCATTCCTTGCACTGTTTCTACCAACATTGATAGGATAAATTATACGATTCTCTTTTCTAAAAGTTGGTATATCATGATCCAGTCCGGAACAATCTTCAAACTTTAAATTCGGTGCTGTATTCTCTTTTAGTGCCATGCGTTTCATCATCCTTGCTATTTTATTCTTTCTAACCCATTGTATGTATTGTGCTCTCGTTTTGTTATTAAGTTTTCTATAATTATCTAGTTTATTTTTTAATATTTGTTCTATAGTTATATTCGCTGTTGTTGTTGGTATTTCCGTGGTAAGAGACGCTAAGATTTCCTTTCGCGATCTTATCTTTGGAGGATGATGTACATGATAAAATAAATGTATAGATACTTTAGCCATACCTGGATAACAACGGCAAAGATGTGACATAATTTGCATTGTTACATCTAAATCGTAATTAGGCACGAATACGGATAGACTGATAGGTCCTTCCCAATATCTAGCAATCTCTACTACATGATAAAGGAATTCAGGCGTTGCATGTGTTGCATATGTTACTGTATTATATTTTGTATGGTTAGCAAAAGCGGTTCCTTTAATAGCATTATAAATAACTCTGTAAGGACCTTTTGAACCGATTTCTGGTGAATTGTGTATCTGCAAACTGTTCCATTGCAACTTTTTAGGTAGACCGTACCTAAACTGGCAGTAACTTAAATTTTCGTTGGGCTGTTTGTTTTTTAAAAAAGATCCCGGTCTATATTCAAAGTCACCTATTTGGGAAGGTGTACGTCGTTGTTGCTTGTGCTTGTATCCGTATAAATGGAATATCGTTGTGAGAATTAATATAAATATTATAATAAGTAGAATCGTCGAATGCCTTCGTGTCAAGCGATACGAATACGACCCGCATATTCGCAAGCATCTCGTCATATCTGATTTTCATTTTATTTATTTATCTTTACCTTGAAACGTTTATGAAATACATATTATTCTGTTAAAATATTGTTATCGGTACTTTTTATTCGTTTAATATTACACTGTTATTGGCCAAATTATAGTGCCATAATAACCTACTTCGCACTGTCCCTCTTTCAATCAAGGTTAACTTGGAGCACTGTTCTGTTTTTCACTTGTTTCACATAGTTTTTACACCATATTTCACTGTATTTATCTTCTAAATCACATTAATATAATTGTTCATTAACTACACGTATTTTCTATATTTATTATAACACAAAAGATTCCTAAATATTTACGTTTGTAGCGACTTCTCGATTTGACAGTTGCGCGCGCCGCCTGGCGGCCGGGAGCGGTACTATAAAATCAATACTTGCGCTTACAGGCTACCGCGGGAGACTTAAGCCTTATTTATGATATTAGCGAATCGGATATTTTATTAGCATGTAAATTAAACTATTTATCACATTAAGGGGCTGTTCCACTAAATTGTAAATTGTCTGATAACAATCCAACGTGTAAAATATTTGAAGGAAATGTAGGATTTTTGACCGACTTCCCAAAAGAAGGAGGTACTCAATTCATTCATATGTTTATTTTATTTTTTTCTTATGTGTTTTACGGCATGTTACCTTATTTGTTAGTGACGTCATTTTTAAACGATCTGTGTCTCTATCAGTCAGAGGTGGGACAGTCCCTTAAAATAGTTGAAATATTTACCGTGTTAATAGATTTTATTAAATGTATTTTTGAGTTAAAATCTTTTGTATAACAATTATCTGTGATTATTACAGTTATATGAAACGTTCTTTTATTTTTATTGTTTTTAATAAGTAAATTAGCAATAGTTAAAGTAATTTAGAATCCTATAGTGAATTTTGTACGAAATCACATTACAAGTGACAGACCACAGGAACTCAATTTAAATTTCTCTCTGCCTTCGCTAACTGCTGAGGGAAGAGAGATTAAATAATTTTAAACTTCTAACTTTGTAACATAATTAGTGAGACATGTATTTGTTGCAGGTTGGCGAAAACGTTACTGTTGGTTTTCATTGCTGTGACACTAGTATTGAGACATTTGGTTATTTAAATAAAATAGCGACTTACAAATAATTTGACTGTAATTTATATCTATACTAATATTGAAAAGAGGAAAGTTTTGTTGTAGTTTTGTACGAATTTATGTAAAAACCACTAAGCCGATTGCAAAAATTCTTTCACCAATAGAAAGGTAATTTATCTGTAAGCAACCTAGGCTATGTTTTTTTTTTAAACAATACTAGCTGTTGCTCCCGAGCGAAGTTCGAAGTCTTATAAGTTTAAGGTAATTTACCTAATACGCATTTATAACTTTCTTTTGAATTAATTATTTTTTCATTGCATAAGTGTGCAGGTTATCCCTGTTTTTGTAAGAATATAAGAGATATATTTCACGATACTAATACATTTCAGATAATATCTAGAACTCAAGGAAAATTCAATTAAACCAATGTAATAGTGAAAGAAATCTTTCTAATCTTACTCTTACTAATATTATAAATGCGAAAGATTGGATCGATGAATGTTTGTTAGAGTTTGTAGCCTAAACGGCTGAACGGATTTTGATAAAATTTCGCATAGATGTAGAGGATAGTCTGGAAGAACACATATGCTACTCACATTTGTTTGTTTTAATTCCACGCGGACGGAGTCGCGGGCGAAAGCTAGTACTAGATAAAGCAATTAGACAATGAGCTACCGCTTCATTAAATTGCCTGAAAAATTAGGTTAAAGCGCGATTTCAGTTTTACAATATCTAAGTTTGATAGAGCTTCACGTAAGCGGAAGTTAATAATTTCAGACTACACGCTACCTCACACAGAAGACTTTTGGAAACATTTCTTTCATAGTAAAGCATGAGAAAGGACGTATTCAATATGTTTAAAAACAAAGTTAAATTTGTCAAACCGCTTTACAAGAAATCTAGACACGATAGAGATGAAACTAAGATATTGGCAATAAACTTTGGTAGTTCAATCGATCTATGTGGCGATGGTATTTACGTCAATAGAAATGTGAATACAAAGAGTGCGTTAAATTCACATGATAATAAAATAAGTAGTAATAAAAGTGTGACATTACCTGGTGAATGTGAACTATACGATACCTGTTTTAAATACGACAATATAAATAAAAAATATAATAAAAAAAGTAACTCCTATCCAGATCATCATAGCCATAAAGGCAAACAAAAGTGTAGATACATCAAAATGTCTGCGATTGAAAGTGCACAAAATGGAAGTAAACGAATTAACAATAAACAAATAGTATTACATAAGGTAATAATTTTCAATAAAATTTATTACTAGCTTTTACCCGCGACTCCGTCCGCGTTGAATTAAAAAAAAAAGAAAAGTGAGTAGCCCATGTGTTCTTCCAGTCTATATTTTATGCCAAATTTCATTAAGATTCGTTCAGCAGTTTAAGCTACAAACTCTAACAAACATCAATCCATTTTAACTTTTGCATTTATAATAATAATAAAACTAGCTTTAGCTCGTGACTTAGTTCGCGTGGGTTAAAAAAAATCAAGTAGCCTATGTGTTCTTCCAGACTATGTCCTCTATGCTAAATTTCATCCAGAACTATTTAGCCGTTTAAGCTACAAATTCTAACAAACATCCATCCATCTAAACTGTCGCGTTTATATTAGTATGATGTGATGTATAGGTTTCCGATGCCTGGCTAAGAGTGTACCCAGCCCCGAAGAAAGTAAACGAAGGTTACTGTTCAGTAGTAATCAGATGCGTATTTTGTCAGCTTGGATTGACCGCTGTCCTCGTTATATGGAATGTGATTTGGGTGTTTATTATACATTCCTTCGAAGGTAAGTTTACATGTGAAATGTTTATGTTTATTTAAATTCGTACTAAAGATATATTGTTATATTCATTAGGTCCGCAAGAAGTTAAAGTATCTTTAGATTTCGAAAAGGAACAAAATCAGCTTGTTATTGATCTAGCAACTGAATTAAGACAGGTGAGAAAGTATTGTTTTGTTTTATTTCTTCTATTTTCTTCAAATACTACGAGTACACTAGTTCATTATAAATGCTTAGTTTCACGCAAGTCCACAGTTATCGTAAATTTTGCAATTAATTATATAAAATTTTCTTTTTCTTTAAACCTGTCTACCAATTATTACGTTAAAGGTAAGTACACATAGAATTCAATCATTTGAGTGTGCCGCGTCGGGAGTTCTTGTAGGAAAAATATGCCTCGTACCAATTTGCACATCTCATGAAAACGAAATTTGAATATTCACCAGGGGATTCCTTATCTTTGAGATTCCGCGCGCCGTCGACTCCAGAAATATTTCTTTCAGTGTAATATTCTTTTAGATTATTTCATATTATGTCACTAAATATTGTTAAGTTAGAAAAAAACAACAGAACCGTTGAACCGTTTATTCGACCGAATTATTAATCAATTATTTTTAACTGTCAACATTCATCATCATCCAACATTCAAACCTACCAAACATCCAACATAACCTAACCACATTCCAATCTTCTAGTATTCCAAGCTTGCAGCATTTGGAAATCGTATCGGTAACATTACGATGACGCCAATGTCCTGTAAATATAAATGCAAGAATACCATTGTAATAAATATAATAATTAAATGTTTCAGATAACACCTCTATCAGCGAAATGGCGTGATGCAATTGAACAAAGGATTAACGATGCCAGACAACTGACGATGCTCGCTGTGGGAAACGGAGCTAAATTACAGCCGGGTTTATTTTGGGATTTGCCCGGCACATTTTTATTCTCAATCTACGTAATGACTGCTTTAGGTGAAGTATACTGAAGATTTAGGGCCTGTCTCACCAAAGATGATAGAGGCTAATGACGTCACTGTCATATGGGAACTAAATCCGATATTTCCATTACATATTTTACACGTAGGATTGTTATCAGACAATTTACAATTTGGTGGGACAGGCCCAAAGTATCGTTGTATATCTGCCGTGCGCAGAAGGTTTGACAAAGTTTTCAACCAATAAGCTCCGCGTCCCCGTTTTGTCCAATTGATTTGTCGATTGCGCGTGACATCATGAGGCCATCGGCAAAGTTACTGTGCACAAGTAATAGTTTTTAGTTCCCATTTGTTAAGTTGTGACTAGGATATTAGGGTGTTTCAGCAAGTTTGTTTGCAAATTTACCTTTCATTTTATGTTATTTATTTTATTATTTCTATAGGTTTCGGAGCACCTGTACCTCATACAACATGGGGCAGAATGTCTGCTTTGATTTATGCGATTATTGCAGTCCCCACACATATTTATCTTAGTAAGTTGATACTTTCTTGGAATAAAAACGATTAATATTTTATGCTAAAATATATAACTGTTTCAGTGTGGAATGCAAGTTCTTTCATAGTCGTCTCTATGGAACAATGTACTATACAATTTAAGAAGAAATATTGTCTTTCAAAAAGTAACAAAATTGATACACCAACGGTTGAGACTTCAAAAGGTACTTCTGGTTTTAATTTTATGCATTTACTCCTCATCATCAACCTACCCTTGTCTCTACAGAGGGTCAGCACAGTATATGCTGCCCTTCTATAAATCTCTATCAGTCGTCATATCTGTATTCACGCCCTTATGCATATTTCTCTTTCCTCTCCTCTTTCATACAATCTATACTTTTTTCATGTATTTTTGTAGCCATCCAGATACAATCTTAATACTTTCTTGTTTGTTACATCATTTACTCCTGGTTTAAAATGAATAAAGTGTAAATATGTTTCAGAAAGTTCTAGTACAACTAATAATTTAAATTCAATGGACAAACCTATTTGCCGGAAATGTGTAAGTTTGTATATAATTCTACAATATTTATTTATTTTTTATGAATTATTGGAATGTTACATCTATACTAATATTATAAAGAGGAAAACTTTGTTTGTTTGTAATGAATAGGCTCAAAAACTACTTGGCCGAATTTAAAAATTCTTTCACCCTTAGAAAGGTAATTTTTCTGTGAGTAACATAGGCTATATTTTTTAATGTTTTTTTATTACACGCGGACGGAATCGCGGGCGGAAGCTACAGTTTAATTATATTATCATTTAAATAATTAAAATGTTACATGCCAAATAAAGTAATAGATTATTATTAATTAATTATTACGACCTGTAAGTACAGGTAAAGGTTAATTACAATACTTAAGCAAAGCTACAGAGCGTAATAATCTAGATTTTAATATTCTAGTTGGGGCGATGCCAATTTCGTAGGTACTAA